TTCACACTATTATTACTAATAATAATACTGATAGTCCTTCTACCATTACTATTACTACAACTTCTACTACATCTACCACTACTTCTACTACTGCTGCTTCTAACTACTACTACAACAACCTCCTTTAACTATTTCCCACATAACAACTATCCTCTCAGTGAGCAGCACAACTAAGCTGCTGAGAAGTTAATCATGTCTCCTTCAGCAGATCTTCCTCTCCGTCTACGCCTACCACTGCAGACCTACGCACCTCCAGCCTGTTTCTGTGACCTTCCTCTCCTCTCACACGCCTTGGTCCCATCACAATGCAGCGACGCAGCGCTTGTAGCCTAATCGGCTCAAGGCGCTCAATAAATTACTTTTACTTTATTCTTATGGAGCTACAGGCGGGAGATATATATAGATATATGTATGTGTGTGTGTATATATATATATATATATATATATATATATATATATATATATATATATATATATATATATATATATATATATATATATATATATATATATATGAAAACGTGGGCATCAAGCGTTCCTTTAAGCATGTTTACTTATGTATGATCACATTGCTGGCGTTGTTGGTCTTATATTATAAGTTTCCTATGCTTCTAACTATTTTTTTAGTGTCGCTAATAAGATGAGCAAAATCAAGTTACCAAAATTGATAAAGAAAACTAGTAATTAAATTAGTAAACCCACTAGTAAACTAGTGGGTCGTTTTTCTCTTATTACGCCCAGGATTTGCAATCTTCTTTGGTCAGTGGTGGATGGCAGGAGTATTGTATTACCTACTAGCATGTTCCTAGTGAGTGTTGTGTGATGTACACCTTGCACATGGTGTCTAGGGTCACCAGCTGGTAGATGGCAGGCCAGTCTTCTCGAAAGCTTTGTGGTGGTCATACCAGTATAGGCAAATTGAAGGTGGCAGTTATGCATGTATATTGGTATGCCTCGTTTACTTTTTGGAGAGGTCTGTACTGTTTATTTTGGCTGTTTTTAGGTATTAAATCAGCAGTCCATTTGTTTTGTTGTAAATAATGAATTATTATCTTTGGTCTGGGGGCTGTCGGTTTGAAATTATATATTTAATTATTCTTGAATCTGTTTTATACTGTGAGCTCAGAGTGGATTTGTAATCGAGATTTATGAGAGGGGTTCCTTGCTGTTACACCACTTTTCTAAATATCTTCAGGTATGGGTGTTGACTTCTCTATTTGTATACTCGTTGTTTATTAATACTTGAAGGCTTCTGTCCATTTCCTTGTGAATGTTATGCCAGTCACAACAGCGAGGAAGGGCTCTGCGTATAAATGAGTTCATCACACTAGTCTTATTTTTATATGTCTGGGCATTTGCTGTAACAATTCATACACATTCCAGTGTTGGTAGATATAGTGTAAACTTGTGTAGTGAGGGTGTTGTCGTTGGTTACTCACGGAGACATCGAGGAAAGGGAGTGTACCATCGAGACCTAGTTCATGGCTAAAGTTAAGCTCTGAGTGTTGAGTAAGTTGATCCTTTAATCGTAACTATTCCATCCTTACGATTATGTTACCCATGCAGCAGGGGACCTGCTGCATGGGTAACAACTTTTCTCCCATATCAACCTACCCTGGTTTTGCGCCCTGGAGAGGCCACTCCAGACCGACAACCAGAGCGCAACTCCATAGTCTCCTGAGACTAATGGCTGCCTACTATTCCAGGAGGTCTTTCACACACACATACGAATATATCATCGATGTATCTGCAGTAGATGAGAGGGTTTTCCTGTGGTTTTGAAGATGGTGACTTTTAGTGTTCCCATATAGAAGTTAGCAGAAATGACTCCTAGTGGCTACTCCGTCTATCTACGTATACATGTCTCCCCCAGCGGCTCTGAATTCTATTCAGATCACCAAACTAGCACCACCAGGACCCCGAGAGGCCTGGTAGTGCTAGTTAATATCACAACAACAACAAGGTTAAAATTAATTAGTGTAATATGGACCTCATCTTACTCTTTAAAATGTTAATCTGATTATAAATTATGCAAACATTAATGAAAGTCAATACTGTTACGTTGCAAAAATAATAGTGTCGTGTTGAAAACAATGATGCAGAACAAATGTGCAACGACCCGGGTCATACTGCAAGAGGAGCCAGTCATGTGATGCAAGAAGTCCCCGCACGATGCTCGGGTTTAACAAGGCAATGCTACTCGATAATAAAATCATCCATCAGTACCAAACCAAATTGTTGCAACGTGCCTTGCAACTGTGTTTGGATCGATATGGTCACTTTCCTCTGCTCTCGTCAACCACAGGACAGTAACTATCCTTGTACCACACAAGTTGATAGTAACTATATTTATGTCCGCTCCATAATAGGCTAACTATTTCCTCGTGTCAACCACGACACAGTAACTCCTCCTGTATTACCACAAGCATCTTCACTTTTACTAACAGGCCAAATTCTACCCACGCAGCATCACTAATAAGTCTGAAATAAACTTTCATTACTATTAACTTGCATCAGTTGTATAACTTTCCGAAGCAGCCTATTAGAACTCTGAACAAAAGTTATAATCCAATTAGTGCAAAATTCCAACTAGATTCCGCAATAAATTTAACAATTCTCTCTACAATTGAATCCCGAAGGTCGAGGGGATATTTCCTTCAGCACCCTCACAACCAATACAATAACAATATGCTCACCACCGTGGTGGCTGGAAGTCCGCGTGGACGGTGGAGGAGGAGGAGGAGGAGGGGGCGCTCACTGGGAGTAATGAGGCCGTGTTTGTACACAAGTTATCAGCTGAAACAACCCATACCAACAGCAGCGAGCTCCTACTCCGCCTCATCCAGTATTACACAATTATTTGCTGTCTGATAACCCATTCACCGTGTCTTAACAAATAAATGAGAATATCTTTCGCTCAGTTCACACACACACACACACACACACACGCTCTCACACACACACACGCGCGTGTGTGTGTGTGTGTAACCTGTATCCTGAAGCCCACATCAAAAGAATAACATCGGCGGCGTATGCGAGGCTGGCTAACATCAGAAATGGCTTCCGAAGCCTGTGTAAGGAATCCTTCATTACCTTGTTTACTACGCATGTAAGGCCAATGGAGTATGCGGCCCCAGCATGGAGCCCGTACCTTATCAAGCACAAGACGAAGCTGGAAAAAGTTCAGAGGTATGCCACTAGGCTAGTCCCAGAACTAAGAGGCATGAGTTATGAGAAAAGGCTGCGATAAATGCACCTCACGTCGCTGGAAGACAGAAGAGCTAGGGAAGACATGATCACCACATATAATATTCTCAGGGAAATTGACAGGGTAGACAAGGATGGATTATTTAACACGGGTAGTACACACATAAGGGAACACAGGTGGAAGCCGAGTACCCAAATGAACCACAGAAACATTAGAAAGAACTTTTTTAGTGTAAGAGTAGTTAGTAAATGGAATACAATAAGCAGTGATGTGGTGGAGGCTGACTCCATACACAGATTCAAATGTAGATATGATAGATCCCAGTAGGCTCAGGAATCTGTACACCAGTTGATTGACGGTTAAGAGGCGGGACCAAAGAGCCGAAGCTCAACCCCTGCAAGCACAACTAGGTGAGTACACACGCACGCACACAACCCTTGGGATCAAATATATCGCAGCAGCTAATGGGATGATGATCTTCAGCAGTGACGCAGCTAGTGACAAATATAGTATATTTGACTGATAGATATATGGGCTGGATTGTCTGCTATTCTGGTATAGATTGAGAGGTTGACGCCCCCTTAGTTGAGTGTCTCGCCTATCCTCTTGATAAGACTGTACTTTTTGTAACTATGTGGACGATAGTACAAATATCGACGTGATGGGGGAATAGAAAGTAGAACTTGATATCATTCATTTGATTGAGCCCGGAAAGTGTAGAGCTAAAACAAAACCTAAATATTTATAGGCCTAGTACAGCACATATATGTACTATATTAGGCTTCAGATAGCGTGCATTCGGCCTAGGGTGCTTAGGATAGGCTTCGTTAAATATAAAAACTTTTCCGGTTTGTCCAAATTCAGTAATACAAAAGTCTACTTTCTACTGAGCCATCACGTCTGTATTTGTACTATTGACAACATCGTTACTATAAGTAGCATCGTTTTAGAAGGCTGGGCCGACACACGGCTTGCGGCGCGGCGTTACTCCGTAGTTACTCCCTCGGACAGAAAACGGGATGCCGGCCATCCCCAGCAACATGCGCAAATAAAAGTATCACGGACAGGGAGGGACCTATTGACATTCCCAATACGCACGTCTGCTGATACAATATATATAAATCACTCCCACTTAGCGAGCACAGCAATGACAATTACATTACTAATGACCACTACACTTCTTAGAGATTAACGACACACACACACCTGTTCAGACCGGCCAGAATGTTAACGATTTACGTCAAGTAGTTAAGACTGAAGCTTTAGAGTGGGACTCCCGAGCACACATTGAATCCCTAAACACTGTAGCAAACGATTCGTCACTCAACGGGTCGAGGTGAAGTGGATGATAGTTGAGGGTGGAGAGGGAGTGAGGTGGAGGAGAGGCGCTGGATATCCAGTAGTCACTGACTTGACACAGACACGGATTCACCTTGGCCCGTGTTGCTTGGAACTTTTTGTTCCCGGTAGCGAATCGTAAACAACAACTTGACACAGACACGTAAGTTACAGCCCCGCTCGTATGCCAGATAAGTCCACGACGAGTTCACCATAGCCCGTGCTACTTGCCCCGCTTCTGTGCCAGGTAAGTACACTACGGGCTCACCATAACCCGTGCTACTTGCCTCGCTCCTGTGCCAGGTAAGTACACTACGGGCTCACCATAGCCCGTGCTACTTGCCTCGCTTTCTGTCCCAGGTAAGTACACTACGGGCTCACCATAGCCCGTGCTACTTACAACTTTGTGTTCCCAGTAGATGAATCAGAAACAACAACTTGACAGAATAGTCAGTCACTTGGCAGACAGATGACAGCGGTAGAAGGAAGAGTTAGATAACCCTGCGTGACCTCCAGGTATCAAGTTGTACCCTGCATGACCTCCAGGTGTCAAGTTGTACCCTGCATGACCTCCAGGTGTCAAGTTGTACCCTGCGTGACCTCCAGGTGTCAAGTTGTACCCTGCATGACCTCCAGGTGTCAAGTTGTACCCTGCGTGACCTCCAGGTGTCAAGTTGTACCCTGCATGACCTCCAGGTGTCAAGTTGTACCCTGCATGACCTCCAGGTGTCAAGTTGTACCCTGCATGACCTCCAGGTGTCAAGTTGTACCCTGCGTGACCTCCAGGTATCAAGTTGTACCCTGCATGACCTCCAGGTGTCAAGTTGTACCCTGCATGACCTCCAGGTGTCAAGTTGTACCCTGCGTGACCTCCAGGTGTCAAGTTGTACCCTGCATGACCTCCAGGTGTCAAGTTGTACCCTGCGTGACCTCCAGGTGTCAAGTTGTTCCCTGCATGACCTCCAGGTGTCAAGTTGTACCCTGCGTGACCTCCAGGTGTCAAGTTGTACCCTGCATGACCTCCAGGTGTCAAGTTGTACCCTGCGTGACCTCCAGGTGTCAAGTTGTACCCTGCATGACCTCCAGGTGTCAAGTTGTACCCTGCGTGACCTCCAGGTGTCAAGTTGTACCCTGCGTGACCTCCAGGTGTCAAGTTGTACCCTGCGTGACCTCCAGGTGTCAAGTTGTACCCTGCATGACCTCCAGGTGTCAAGTTGTACCCTGCGTGACCTCCAGGTGTCAAGTTGTACCCTGCGTGACCTCCAGGTGTCAAGTTGTACCCTGCATGACCTCCAGGTGTCAAGTTGTACCCTGCGTGACCTCCAGGTGTCAAGTTGTACCCTGCATGACCTCCAGGTGTCAAGTTGTACCCTGCGTGACCTCCAGGTGTCAAGTTGTACCCTGCATGACCTCCAGGTGTCAAGTTGTACCCTGCATGACCTCCAGGTGTCAAGTTGTACCCTGCATGACCTCCAGGTGTCAAGTTGTACCCTGCATGACCTCCAGGTGTCAAGTTGTACCCTGCGTGACCTCCAGGTGTCAAGTTGTACCCTGCATGACCTCCAGGTGTCAAGTTGTACCCTGCATGACCTCCGGGTGTTAAATTGTATCCTGCGTGACCTCCAGGTGTCAAGTTGTACCCTGCATGACCTCCGGGTGTTAAATTGTATCCTGCGTGACCTCCAGGTGTCAAGTTGTACCCTGCATGACCTCCAGGTGTCAAGTTGTACCCTGCATGACCTCCAGGTGTCAAGTTGTACCCTGCATGACCTCCAGGTGTCAAGTTGTACCCTGCGTGACCTCCAGGTGTCAAGTTGTACCCTGCATGACCTCCAGGTGTCAAGTTGTACCCTGCATGACCTCCGGGTGTTAAATTGTATCCTGCGTGACCTCCAGGTGTCAAGTTGTACCCTGCATGACCTCCAGGTGTCAAGTTGTACCCTGCATGACCTCCAGGTGTCAAGTTGTACCCTGCATGACCTCCAGGTGTCAAGTTGTACCCTGCATGACCTCCAGGTGTCAAGTTGTACCCTGCGTGACCTCCAGGTGTCAAGTTGTACCCTGCGTGACCTCCAGGTGTCAAGTTGTACCCTGCGTGACCTCCAGGTGTCAAGTTGTACCCTGCGTGACCTCCGGGTGTCAAGTTGTACCCTGCATGACCTCCAGGTGTCAAGTTGTACCCTGCGTGACCTCCAGGTGTCAAGTTGTACCCTGCGTGACCTCCGGGTGTCAAGTTGTATCCTGCGTGACCTCCAGGTGTCAAGTTGTATCCTGCGTGACCTCCAGGTGTCAAGTTGTACTCTGCGTGACCTCCAGGTGTTAAATTGTATCCTGCGTGACCTCCAGGTGTTAAATTGTATCCTGCGTGACCTCCAGGTGTTAAATTGTATCCTGCGTGACCTCCAGGTGTTAAATTGTATCCTGCGTGACCTCCAGGTGTCAAGTTGTACTCTGCGTGACCTCCAGGTGTTAAATTGTATCCTGCGTGACCTCCAGGTGTTAAATTGTATCCTGCGTGACCTCCAGGTGTTAAATTGTATCCTGCGTGACCTCCAGGTGTTAAATTGTATCCTGCATGACCTCCAGGTGTCAAGTTGTATCCTGCGTGACCTCCAACTGAAAGAGGGTTATGATGTTGAGGTGGAAAAGTATAAGAAAACAAAGAACGAAAAATACGAGGAATGTGGATGATAACAAGGCGCTGGGATAAGAGGATAAGGCGCTGGAATATGAGGACACGACGCTGGGATATAAGAACACGACGCTGGGATATGAGGACAAGGCGCTGGAATATGAGGACACGACGCTGGGATATGAGGACAAGGCGCTGGAATATGAGGACACGACGCTGGGATATGAGGACAAGGCGCTGGAATATGAGGACACGACGCTGGGATATGACGACACGACGCTGGGATATGAGGACAAGGCGCTGGAATATGAGGACACGACGCTGGGATATAAGAACACGACGCTGGGATATGAGGACAAGGCGCTGGAATATGAGGACACGACGCTGGGATATGAGGACAAGGCGCTGGAATATGAGGACACGACGCTGGGATATGAGGACACGACGCTGGGATATGAGGACAAGGCGCTGGAATATGAGGACACGACGCTGGAATATGAGGACACGACGCTGGAATATGAGGACACGACGCTGGGATATGAGGACAAGGCGCTGGAATATGAGGACACGACGCTGGGATATGAGGACACGACGCTGGGATATGAGGACAAGGCGCTGGAATATGAGGACACGACGCTGGGATATGAGGACAAGGCGCTGGAATATGAGGACACGACGCTGGGATATGAGGACAAGGCGCTGGAATATGAGGACACGACGCTGGGATATGAGGACACGACGCTGGGATATGAGGACACGACGCTGGGATATGAGGACACGACGCTGGGATATGAGGACACGACGCTGGGATATGAGGACACGACGCTGGAATATGAGGACACGACGCTGGAATATGAGGACACGACGCTGGAATATGAGGACACGACGCTGGGATATGAGGACACGACGCTGGGATATGAGGACAAGGCGCTGGAATATGAGGACACGACGCTGGGATATGAGGACACGACGCTGGGATATGAGGACAAGGCGCTGGAATATGAGGACACGACGCTGGAATATGAGGACACGACGCTGGAATATGAGGACACGACGCTGGGATATGAGGACACGACGCTGGAATATGAGGACACGACGCTGGAATATGAGGACACGACGCTGGAATATGAGGACACGACGCTGGTATATGAGGACACGACGCTGGAATATGAGGACACGACGCTGGAATATGAGGACACGACGCTGGGATATGAGGACACGACGCTGGAATATGAGGACACGACGCTGGAATATGAGGACACGACGCTGGAATATGAGGACACGACGCTGGGATATGAGGACACGACGCTGGAATATGAGGACACGACGCTGGAATATGAGGACACGGCGCTGGGATATGAGGACACGGCGCTGGGATATGAGGACAAGGCGCTGAGATATGAAGACAAGGCACTGGGATATGAGGACACGACGCTGGTATATGAGGACACGACGCTGGAATATGAGGATGGTGAGAAGGAACAGTGGCGGAAGTGTAGAAGGAAACAAGAAAAGTGAACGAATACGAGAAATAAGAGAATCAAGAGAAGATAGGAGGCGCTGTCTGGGACACGTGTTTCCTCGTGGTGTATATTTTCTGTTTTTTTCATCTCCCATTCCCCTACCCCACCCTATCCCCTACCTCTTCCCCTACCACCGATCCCTCCCCACCCAAGACCCCAACCCCATCCGTCTTACCAAGTCATCTGGTCATAACATGTCCACTACTCTTATGTATTAGGCTTGGTGATCCCGGGGAAGGAGGAGAGACGGGACGCGACAGGGAGAGGAAAGAGACGGGACGCGACAGGGAGAGGAAAGAGACGGGACGCGACGGAGAATGACAAAAACAATTCGTTACACACAACTTCCAGAGACAAAACGTCTTGATTAATTGTTAACCCTCTATGGCACGCCTCTCCATCCCTCTGTGGCGCGCCTCACTGGCCCTCTGTGGCGCGCCTCACTGGCCGTCTGTGGCGCACCTCTCTTAGCCTCTGTGGCGCACCTCTCTGAGCCTCTGTGGCCTGCCTCTCTGAGACTCTGTGGCGCACCTCTCTGAGCCTCTGTGGCGCGCCTCTCTGTAGAGTGCCTCGCTGAAGTTCTCAGGCCCTCTGTGGCGCCCCTCTATGACCCTGTGAGCGCGCGTCTCTGGCCGTCTGATGCACGTCAATATTAGTTTAATGATTAATGCGAATATTACTTCAAACATTTATTTTACCATTATACTTATTGCTTCTTTTGTATCTGGCGGCTGGTGCCTTTGATCGTCTCCCTGGAGCTCCAGGGCCTCGACGTATTCCAGCAGTGGTCGAGGGCGCGTCTCCCTGGAGCTCCAGGGCCTCGACGTGTTCCAGCAGTGGTCGAGGGCGCGTCTCCCTGGAGCTCCAGGGCCTCGACGTATTCCAGCAGTGGTCGAGGGCACGTCTCCCTGGAGCTCCAGGGCCTCGACGTATTCCAGCAGTGGTTGAGGGCGCGTCTCCTGGAGCTCCAGGGCCTCGACGTATTCCTACAGTGGTCGAGGGCACGTCTCCCTGGAGCTCCAGGGTCACGACGTATTCCAGGAGTGGTTGAGGGCACGTCTCCCTGGAGCTCCATGGCCTCGACGCGCCTCTCTGCTGAAAGACAGAAGAATCAAGCGAGACCTGATCACCACATACAAAATTCTCAAAGGCTAACAAGGTCAGACATATATGACTGGGTGGTACACGAACAAGGAGACAGCTCAACACTAACTCTCCATATTAGCCACATATACTTCATAAATTATTTAGCTTAATGTGAACTAATGGAGTACTCAAAGACGTTGAGGAATCACACGCCATACACAGTTTCAAATGTAGATATGACAGCCAAATAAGCTCGGGAACTTATACACTATCTAACTGAAAGATGCAAGGCGGGGCCACAGCGCTGGAGCACAATTAGACGAGTACTCCTTATTCAGTCAAAATCACTCCTCCGTTTGCAGTATCAATAAAGTAATACCATTACCAACTTGGGGCAGAATAATCCTTGGGATCGATGATCATAATATATATTCATGAGGCGTGAGTCTTTTTATCACTAACTCGATGGTCTCTAATTTGCATTATCGTCGTGGTCGCCCAAGTTAGGAAATTCTCTCGAGTGCCCCGAGGTCCAGCTTATCCGTTTTCTTTCTGGTTCTCTCCGTTGGACGCATGGGATACTTTGGCAATATATATTCATTTTTTTAGAATTTATACAAGCGTTCTAACATTCTTGTACAGCCACTAGTACGCGTAGCGTTTCGGGCAAGTCCTTAATCCAATGGTCCCTGGAATACGACCCCCGCGAAGAATCATTGTGTCAGGGGACAGGAAGCCAGAGTGTATTCAAACACGTTTTGACTTTTATCGAGGTCTAGGACTAGGCGACACAGCAGACAAAACAGCAACACAGCTGGCTCTTCGCCTAGGATGCTGTCAGTATAAAAATTGCACAAGACAGTGAGAGGACACAGAGAATGATAAAGAAGTATGCAAAGTACTCCGCAATTTTTCAGGAAGCTATTAAGCTGGGGGCCCAAGCTGTCCGTAGATCTAAGAGCTGAAGCGCTGGTGGGCACACAAGAGCCACAGAGGAAGCGACTGGCTGGAGGAGCTGTGTGTGCTGGATGCCACACATAAGCCCACACTCGCCTGGAATAACAACAGAAGCAGCTGCAGCATTGCGTAAAATCCTGTTTTATACTCAAAGGAGATCTACCAGTAATTTGCATTAAAACGGCTAATATGGTGCTTATATATAAAAAAGGCGAAAGCCAGGAATCACTAAGTTTAGTATCACTAAGAACATGTTAACATGATAACTAAACCACACAACAGAAGATGAGGAGACGACGACGTTTCGGTGCGTCCTGAACCATTATCAAGTCGATTGTCCGTTATCGCAATCGACTTGACAATTGTCCAAGACGGACCGAAACGTCGTCGTCTCCTCATCTCCCGATGTGTGGTTTAGTTTTCATGTCTTCAAGCCACGTTATTATGACTCATCGTCTGGACATGTTAACAACAGTCTCCAGAACAGGGAAGAGAGACTTAGTTAAGTCTCCTGTTTTAGAGACTTAACAACAGTCTCTAAAACAGGGTGTTAACCAATTGCTATCAATCACCTATGCCATGCACGCCAGGCTTAGCGTGAAAGTTATGTGATTAGAAAAATGCTAAGGAGCTTATACAATAAATTTATGACATCAAAGCTGGAAGACGCAGCCGTGGCGTGGTGGCCTTCCCTGGACACATATCACTGAATAACAGCGCAGAAGCATGCAGTGTATGTGTGTGTGTGTGTGTGTGTATTCTCACCTAGTTGTGCTTGCGGGGGTTGAGCTTTGTCTCTTTGGTCCCGCCTCTCAACCATCAATCAACTGGTGTACAGATTCCTGAGCCTATTGGGCTCTACCATATCTACACTTGAAACTGTGTAGATATGTGTGTGTGTGTGTACTCACCTATTTGTGCTTGCGGGGGTTGAGCTCTAGCTCTTTGGTCTCGCCTCTCAACTGTCGATCAACAGGTGTGTGTGCGAGTATTAAAGATAAATATATGTAATAGATATAACAGAGGAAAAATAGATTGGTTAGAAAGGCGGAGTCCAAGAGCTAAATAGCTCAATTCTGCAGACACAAATAGTAAATACACACACACACACACTTCTCGCCTGATGAATATAAAAGTGTTTGAAGTCGCAGATAGATATTAACTCAGACGTATCAAAGATTCTCAAATATTTCTTGATTCCATCCACCTCCTTTACCAAAATAACGCGGGAGTCAATACCTTCATAGCCAAGCAGAGCCCGGGCGCCATCGTGGAATCACAGGTGCGGTGAAGGAGTCACACCAAAGGGAACTGAAGAGAGAGAGAGAGAGAGAGAAATGACACCGGCATTATATCCCGTTCTCTTCAACGTCGACGATTGAAGGGAAATCAGACAGAAATCTGGTATACCTGCAAGACGTTAATCATTGACCAGAAACCATACAGCCTCAAGTGTCAGGCACGAAGACCCACTCGATACATGGGTATTATTTACGTTAGCAGTGTTGACAGCAGGAAGGGAATTGGCTGGAATCAAGACTGCAAGTCTCTGAACGTTACTGCAAGAAACTCTAATTACCACCAGAAATATCCGAGAAAAATGGAATACATCAAACGTCAACTGGAGGAGCAAGAAGCTCCAAGACCAGCGATAACTCGTAGGATCAGAGCACTCTACAGAGGCGGATTGTAATGCTTCAGGAGCTGGTGTATTGCGCGGGAGAAATATAACTGTGACCAACACGACGCGTCTCTGAAGCCGCTAGAGCCGCAATAATAATAATAATATTAATAAGAGAATTAGAATTCACTGGTGTTCGTCGGCATTGGTTTGCTGCTTGTGAAGGTGGTTCAGATGATGATGATGGTGGTTGTGGTGATGGTTGTGGTGGTGGTGATGGTGGTGGTTGTGGTGGTGATGGTGGTGGTGATGGTCGTGATGGAGACCACATCAATACCAACCAACATTCACCAGTATCTTGGCCTTCGTCAAACATTCAGACATCCTTTTTTCTCTCTGTGTTGCTTCCTCCTCGTTAGGAGAGCACATTATACACAATAACTGCATGTTGCCTCTCTCTTCCTCCCCACCCTCTCTCTCTCTCTCTCTCTCTCTCTCTCTCTCTCTCTCTCTCTCTCTCTCTCTCTCTCTCTCTCTCTCGCTTCTCTCTCTCCTCCTCTCCTCTCTCTCCTCTCTCTCTCTCTCTCTCTCTCTCTCTCTCTCTCTCTCTCTCTCTCTCTCTCTCTCTCTCTCTCTCTCTCTCTCTCTCTCTCTCTCTCTCTCTCTCTCTCTCTCTCCTCTCTCTCTCTCTCTCTCTCTCTCTCTCTCTCTCTCTCTCTCTCTCTCTCTCTCTCTCTCTCTCTCTCTCTCTCTCTCTCTCTCTCTCTCTCTCTCTCTCTCTCACTCTGTTACTCTATGAGTAAGGCTCGGAAAAGAGGGGTAATATGAGTATAGACCGGAGGAGAAGCAGAGATGAGTAAGACTATGGGGTCCCAAAGCCTACCACACATAAAAATTGAATTACGTTCAGAGAATCTTTTCTGGGGGCCATCTTCTTATCTCTGGGGATTTGAGATAAAATAATTTACCAGCTGGTGATGGTCTATGACAGAGTAAGTATACCAAGTTTTAACTTGAAAACTGATGTAATATTTTGGAAGTTATTTGAGTGTACCATGTCACGTTCTCTTCCGTTTCTTGACATTTGAATGCAGCTGTACTCGCGTCTTCAAAAGTATCTTCTGGACGTTTATCTAACTTTAATCCTGAACTTAGGGCTGGTGAAGAGGAGGGAGAGGAGAAGCCATTACCCAGGGCGATTGGACGTAAAGTAAGGTCTTAACGAGGTAATCAGGTCCATACTGATTGGCTGATGTTTTACATCTCGACCAATGATAGATCGTGATAATGCCCCCTGAACTGTGTAGACGCGTGACGTGATGTCATGGCGTAAATGACATCACAGTCCTGATGAGCGCCATCTGTCCTCACCTCAGACTTACTGAGGTGAGGTATACATGTATACCTCACATACATGTATGTGGTATACATGTATACACCAAGGTGACAAATTACATACTTCACCAAAACAAAATAACTAAATATTTAATAAATCCTGAACTTATTATTTATAATAAATAAATCCCGAATTAAATACAGTATATTGAAGATGCTTATTATAGTGTAAGGGGCTAGGAAGGAAAGAAACTATTAGGAGAAAGCGCCAAGCCATTATGACTATATAGTACTTGCAAGGGATCAGGATAAGGATTTGGGATGGGACGGTGGGGGGGGGGGAAGGATTAGTGCCCAACTTGGACGGTCGGGGATGGAACACGGACCTGCATGAGGCAAGACCGTCGCTCTACCGTCCAGCCCAAGTGGTTGGGCAGTGTAAGGGGCTAGTGTATGACTACCCACCTTCCCTAACCTTTATCACTTTCCCTTCATCACTGCTACCATCATCAATAAACAAACTTGCATTTAATTGTCATGTAGAAAATGATATGCTTGTTGAGTCTTAGTTAGGTTGGAGTTTGGTATTTTACGAGATTGCAAATTGGTATTTGTCACACACATAAATTCCAATAGCGTGATGCATCAAATGAACAAATCCACAAGGGCCGTGATGAGGGTTCGAACGTACGTCCAAGAGGATCCCAGACGCGCGTTAATCGACTGTGTCACTACATGGAAAAGAATGAGGAAATTGTGTAAAATCCTGGTTTGTGCCTCGGAGAGACCACAGGATCTGTGTGAGAGCAGTAGCATTCCCGGTTGCAATTCTTTTGCATGTCGTGGCACAGTCGATTAAGGCGCATCTGGGATCCTCTCGGACGTAGGTTCGAACGTCCGTCACGGCCCTTGTGGATTTGTTCACTGGTATTTATCACTTCATACAAGGGGGAAGCATGGGCCCCTACCCGCTTATGACCATCCCAGAACAACCAATCAGTAAACAGAGTTTACTGCAACAAGACAATGATGAAATAAGCGGGTTCCGCAGTAATGAGAAATTGAAATTGAAATAAGTTTATTGAGGAAAATACACACAAAGGAATGAGGTAGCTCAAGCTATTCTCACCCCGTTCAGTACATCGTGTTAATACATACATAGATACACATCACAACCAATAAACATATTACCAAACATTCTGAGAGATAAACATATACATTCCTCCTTAACACAAGTAGTATGGTATCAGACGTACACACAAATACTTTTATGACCACAGTAATGAGAGGTGCTGGAGAGCAGGAGAGGAAGGGTTGGGGGCAGACCAGGCAAGAGAGGGAAGATAATCATTGAAGGAAGGTCGTCTGGTGTTATTTCCGAAGAGCAATCACCGGTTTGTATTGGGGCGATCACGGGGAGGACGGGAGGCTCAGGGGTAAGACTCCCTGAGGCTATAGAGACGGCGAGGGGCTGGTGACGGGAGAAAGATCAATTAGTGCGCGTCTGTAATCTGCTTTAGGGATGTAAGGAAATTGAGTAGTTCCGTGATATTGAACGTTGGGGAGTGTCCTTGGAAAGTTAGTTGGTGTGGTCTGAGGTAAGGAGGGAAGGGAGCAGGGTTGGGAAGAGCGACTGATACTTAGAAGTCATGTACGGTGATCAGTGGCTTAGCGATATCTCCGCCCCTTATACCTCTTTTTCTCTTCATATCCCACACACACACACACACACACACACACACACACACACACACACACACACACACACACACACACACACACACACACACACACATCACGCAGAAGTGCAAGGACGCAGCAAACAAGTTTGTCCCAGTCCAAAAGGAAAACAGTGAAATGAAGATGAGAAACCCATGGTTTAATCAGAGATGTAGGCTAGCTAAGCAACAAAGTAAAAGGGCATGGAGAAACTATAGGAATAACAGGACACTTGAGAGCAGAGATGGATGTACAGAGATGGTTTACTTATGGATGTAAAGAAACGCTATTGCATTGCCCGAAAACGCTATGTGTATGAGTGGCTTTAGGTATTGTATGTACTAGCTCTATCTATAAAACCAACATTATATTTGTAACTTATCTTCTATGTATGTACTTTTACCTGAATATAAATTTGAATAAAGTGATTAGCATAGCAATGTTCTTGGGACAATCAAGCAGGATAAGATTTAGGATGAACCTACAAACAAGAGTTAGAAGACTTGTGTTCCAATTGTTATAACGTGTATAAATAACATAAATCAAGAAACATAAAATGTTTAGATAAACAGAGTCAGTGAATCGGATATTGGCGCTGCAAAACCCAAAATGAGAGGCTATGGAAATATGGGTAAAGAAAGCGGTAGTGTATATATATTCTTGAGTTCACTTTAGTCGTGAACTATGTCCAGGGTTAAAGTATACTTGCTCGCTAGTCACAAAGGTGTTGTAAGGGCGTTAATAACTCTCCCGGGGGTAATAGACTTTAAAGACCAACACTACGGTAACAGTGTGAGTAGTGCAGCCTCAGCCACACCTCCCTCACTACAGTCTTGTGTCTGCTGGTCAACCATAGTCTGCTGGACATGGCTCAGTCTCGCCTGGTCTCTTCTGCATTTATATACACGCTTTATTGCCTCTGTGCCAAATATACATCTGTATAATACACAGCGATATTGACTGCAGTCTATAAATCAGTCAGGAAATCCAGTTATACAGCCATATTGAGCCATTAGCACCTGTCTACTGCAGTGTTACCACGTACAGGAGAAGTCTTCATGCGGTATGATCACTGTCTGCGTGCCTATCATAACAAGAATTTACAGGACCAAAATTCAGCTCCTGGGCCACGCCTTACAAAGTATCGATCGTCTAATGTAATGTCTCCCGACCCCTTTGTTTCTTGTCATATCTTTGTTTAGGACCATGGACTGAAGTAGCCTATACTTCTTAGCCTTTACTGCTTTCCTTTCTAGTTGGTTCCAGGGGCCAGATTCACGAAAACACTTACGCAAGCACTTACGAACCTGTACATCTTTTCTCAATCTTTGGCGGCTTTGTTTACAATTGTTACACAGTTAATGAGCTCCGAAGCACCAGGAGGCTGTTTATAACAATAACAACAGTTGATTGGCAAGTTTTCATGCTTGTAAACTGTTTAATAAATATAAACAAAGCCGTCAAAAATTAAGGAAAGATGTACACGTTCGTAAGTACTTGCGTAAGTGCTTTCGTGAATCTAGCCCACGGGTGCTTACCGGCCTTCGTGAAGACGTCTTTCTTGACGTCGCCGAGGCTGACGCCAGCGTCGAGC